ACCCGGATGCAGCAGGTCCCAGTTGCCACCGAACAATTGCTAAGCATCATAAAGTGCATACTGTGTATCAGGCGTGATGCTCAAGGCTCAGAGCCCTTCAGATATGCACGATCAATGGGAATCCTCCCGCTAGAGACCGGTGTGCCAGGGGACGGCTCCGCAAGGGAGCCTCTCGGCATCATCGGAAACACGAGGTACCAGACAGTAGTGTTTGGGTCTTCCTCCTGTTGGGAGCACGGCCACATGACTGGCACCCCAGGCACACATGCATGCACACACACACACACACACACACACACAATGAGTGTACACACTAGGACCTGCTTCTCATCTAAGAGCTAGCCAGCACAGACCATGGGAGCTGACTGCTGTTGGCATTTGAACAGTCATTTAAGCTGTTGGGAATAAGTCACGCCAGGCTTCTTCTCTGAGAGGCCTTGTTACAGAGGAGAAGCCCCAGCTCCTGGCTGCTGGGTGAGTTTTCCCAGCCTCCCCGGGTGTCACGTGCAGCATGTGGCCTTTCCCACATGTCTGGGAAATGACATATGTGGTGTGCCAGCAGCTTGCCAAGGGCCGTGCTAGGAGCTCCTCAGAGATGACAGAATGAAGAGCCTTCCACACGGGGGAGGTGCGGATGGTGCCCTCAGGACTTGCTGGGAAGGCAAAGAGTGGACTGTAGTAGATGTGGAACGTGGAGCCCAGGGTCGAGCCCCCAGCGGTTGTGCAGTAAGGCTGGTTGTTCTTGTCCTTAGGGCTGGATCCCCGGCTCTGCAGCCAGTTGGAGGGGATTCCAGGGGAAAGCCCTGGAGAGGTGGCTGCGAGGGCTCTGCCTTCCCCTGCGGGAGGCTGGGCTGGTTGTGGCACGCTGCTGCCTGCCAGCTCCTGCTCCTCGCTTCCCGGCTTCATGACCAGCTCTCCCTGCTGCCCTTCATGCTCCCTCTCGGAAGCTGGATCCAGGGATTCCTCAGCTCTGTGGGTTTGTTTTCTGATATGAAGTCCTGCGAAGTGGTGAAGAAGGTGCCTCTGCGCTGGGGGTCTCCATGGTGGGGATGGGGGTGTGCTGCCTGCTCCCTGTGCCTCTTCCCACTGCTGCTCCGGGCTCTGAGCCTGCAGCCTCAGTGTTCTCATGCCTTCCTAGCCACAGGGCTTTGGGGGAAAGATCTGCTCCCCCTCACGGACATCTCAGTATGCACGAGTGTGCATCCTTTCTGCTGGGGATATTTGACTTCCTTGCTGGGGAAGGAGGGACTTTGTCCTCCAAATTTGAAGCTTCATGGGGACACAGTTGTCATTTCAAGACCAGCTGTGAGCCAGGTGCTTTCTGCACATGGTCACAGTTAATCCTTACAGTAATTCGAGCAGTCCATGTAGGCAGGTTTCCGGCCCTGGCCACATCCCCTCCTGTCTGTGGCCTAAGAAACCCAAAGACTTGTCCTTTGTGTTACTCAGCCTTATGGGTTGACCAGGGCTCTGCTCATCAGAGCCACTCAGAGATCCGGGCAGCTGGAGCACCCCCTCTTGGACCTTGTAGGCACCATGCCAAAGGGAGAGGGGACCCTGGGCTGGTCTCGTGTGGGTCCTGACAGGCTCCAGCTGGAAGCAGCAGGTGCCACCTCCACTCACGTGTCATGGGCAGATCTAGTCACAGCGCCTCTCCCAACCTCAAAGATATGGTCACCTTACAAAGATGTCACCTCACAGAGTGGCCAGAAACAGTGCTTCTGCTGAGGACCCGCCCTGAGGAGAGGTGGAGAAGCTTGGCAACCAGCAGGGGTGATTGCCACCCAGCCCACATGTGAGGCGGTGCGGGCATCCCCACATGATGGGCGCCAGCTGAGTCACTCCTACGGGCACAGTGATGACAGCAGAGAAAAACCTAGATGTCTCTGATGCCGAGATCCACGCTCTGGGTGAACAGTTTTATTTTTCCAGCTTGTTAATTTTTGTTATCAAGAGTCACTTATAGAATCTTAAAAGGGTTTTAAACCCACCCAAAGCTCCAGCCTCGGTAATTGTCGTGTCCTCAGGAAACCCAAGGAGGGACTATTTGGGGACAGTTGGTGACTCTGGTCACTGTCTCGTCCCGTGTTGTCCCTCCCGCAGGGCCTTGTGGCTCGGCCGGAGGGCGGCTGAGATGGGAAAAGAAAGGAAGTCTGGGTGTGTGCTCCGCAGACAGAGCCCCACCGCATGGGCAAGCTCAGGCGAGTGGGTGCCGCTACCCTAATTTTATATGTGTGGAAAGCGGGGCTCAGAGAGCGGAAGGGATCTACTGGGGCCTCACAGAGGTGAGGCCATGTGAGCCCCGGCCGGAACCCTGCTCTGCACACAGCCCCACGCAGCCCAGGAGTGTTAGACCAAGCAGGTGACTCCGCCCGGGGAGATTTGAGGGTGTTTAAGGCCCTAGGAGGCACCCAGTGCCCAGCAAGGACGCCTGGCTGTGTCTGGCAGTTTCTGGTCCGAGTGCCACGGGGTAAGGTCAGGTGGCCTGAGGCTTGGTGTGCCCGGGGCCCAAGGAGGCCGAGGCCAGGACCAAGAGGAACACTCTTTAGGTTCCCCATGGCACTGTGGGTCATGGTCCTGAGGGAGGGCTTGGGGGGTGTCATGGAAAGCTGGTCCCTCCCAGTCTGTCCCTGTGGGCTCTGCAGAGTCCCAGGAGCTGGGGCTTGGACTTCAGGCCTCTCTCAAGGCCTGAGCAGCCGTCCTGGAAGGCTCCTCCTGCAGCAAGGAGGCCCCATCAATCCACTCAGGCTCCAAGGCACTGACCATCTGCAGCTTAATCTTCCCCTCCTCGCTGTTTCTCCCCATCCTGGCATTTTGATGAAGTCTGCAGCCCCAGGGGTGCTTTGCAGGGGCAAAGAGCCAAACCCCTCAGAGCAGGCCCCTTCCCCCATGCACTCCCACCTGCCTCAGCCCCTTGCAGAACTGGCATGGGGCTGGGGAGGCTGGCAGTGGACAGTGATCAAGCTTTGCAGACATCTTGGCCCTCAGTCTTCCTGGTAGCCGTGTGTGGTAGGCACTTCTGTGTCCATCTTAGAGATGGAGAAACCGAGGCTTAGGGAGCTTCGAATGGCCCGTCCAAGGTTGCCCGGTTAGTGATGGGCAGAGCAAGGCACTGACCCAGGTCTCTGACCTGGAGCCAGTGCTGCCTGCACTCCCACCACTGAGAGGAGAGGGAGGGCCCAGAGGATGGGTGCTGTATGGGGTGCAGGGCAGTGTCCTGCCCCGATCCCGGGCAGCCCTCTTGCTGGCGCAGCCATGGGGAGAGTGAGGCCCAGTGAGGAACTAAGGCCTTCTCAGGAAGGGTGGAAGATATGGGAGCCCGCCTTCTTGGGGAGATTGGGCTGGGCCCTGGGGTGGGCATGCGGGTGGGAGGCCCCCAGAGTTGTTGGAGTCAGGAGAGCCTCTGCAGGGGCAGAGGGGGACCCCCTGCTGTGAGGGAGCACGGTTCTCTGATAGGTAGATTTCAGACCACTCGTATCTTCATGAGGAACAACCTCCTGACTGCCTCCCCTGTGGGCTCCAGGTCAGAGAGATGCAGGCAGCGTCTCAGCGCATCCCTAACCAGCCTCGGGCACGTCGTTTCCCCTCTGGGGACACCGACAATGCCTGTCTCACAGAGTCCTTGTGGGGATTATTTAAAATAGTTAATTTGAAGAGCTAGACACGGAGCCTAGCACATAGTAAGCACTGCATATAATAATAATAGCAATAATAATAATTACGCTGGCTGCCAGCAGTCAATATTATTGCAGTGGACTCCTCAGCACCCTCACCCTCAAGCCGTGACAGGACGGAAGGCTGGCCGGGTGCCACAGAAGAGACTTCTGCCACGGGGGAAGACTGAACCCCATCACCTTTAGGTCCCTTTGTCTGACTTTGATCTTGTCTTTGGTGAGCTGGGTGATCTTGAACAGGGCACACGACCCCTGGGGACCTCAGTTTCTTCTTTTGTGAGCTCTCCTCTCTTACGAGGGGGGCAGCAGGACAATTCAGTCCAGCAGAGGGGCGTATGGGTCATGGAGACCGCGTCTGAGAGGGAGCGTGAGAAGGGCTCTGTCCTGCACGGTGCGGTTACCACGGCTCCCCTGGGACACGGGGGCTCTGCCGAGTTCCCCTGGGGCTTTGTGCTGAGGCTCCTGCTGCCTTCGGTCCAGGGCAGTTGGCTGGAGAACCTGGTCTTCCACGCATTTCTTTAATGGGCCCCAGTGCTCACTGAAGCAAAGCGCACGAAAACTCCCTGTGAACGCCTGGTACTGCGGCTCGGAATGGGGCCCTGCAGGATTATTGGAGCCATCCATCTTAATTACGCTGGAAATCGCTTATGCGCTTTACATAATCACGCCGCACTTACCGTTCCCGGCACTGAGCCAGCGGCAGGGCTTCCCTGCTCTCTGGCTGACAGCTGAGTGTTTAACTCCCGCTTTCCTGGGGGCCCATGGGCTCAGGGCTGGGCTCCGTGGGGACTGAGGCCTCCTGGTGCTGGGCACTGCCCAGATTCTTCACACATGGAGAATGTGTGACCCTGCAAGGCCCGTGTGCTTATCCCCATTTTACAGATGAGAAAACAGAGGCTCAGAGGGGCTAAGTAATGCACCCAAAGCAACACAGCTGAGAAATGGTGGCTCCAAGAGGAAAGCTCCTCTCCTGCCTTCCATAGCCCAATCTGATGGTGCGGGATGTGACCAGGAGCCAGGTTCAAGGGAGGCCCTGACCTCCCACCCCGCCCCCCGCAAAGGGTGTTCCCCTCCATGGGGGTGAAAGCTCCAGGCTTGAGGCCAAGGAGCGGCCCAGAGCTCGCAAGCCCACCTCAGTCCCAGCTCAGGACCCTCTGGAAGGTGCTGTCCTCTCTGTTGGGAAGCACAGAACAGCCGCTGCCCAGAAAACCAGCAGCAGCCCAAGCCTGTGCTTCAGAGGAAGCAGCAGTCGTTGCTGGGGGCCCTCTAGGCACCTGGCTCTCGGCCCACGTCACCTCTTTATATTTCCCGGTTCCCATAGGAGGAATCTGAGACCCAGCAGAAACCCAGGGCAGCCACTGGGGGAGGGGAGGGTGGACCCACGGGGCCTGGTGGGAACCCCTTGGCCAGCACCGACGGCCTCTTCGGTGGCTTCCCTCCTCCTCTTTCCAGCCTTTCCCCAACTTGGAGGCCGGCAGCGTGCGGTCAGAGATGGTGGATTAGGGTTCTCTAGAGAAAAAGAACCAATAGAGCTTATGTACACGTGTGTATGGAATTGGCTCACGCGATTATGGAGGCGGGCAGATCCAAAACCTGCAGAGCCAACTTTGCAGCTTCTGTCCAGGGCTGGAAGCTGCTGCAGAGCCAGAAAGCTGGTGCTGCAGTCTGCAGGGCTTCAGGCAGGAGAATTCTCTCTGACTCAGGAGGCAGGTTGGGCTTCGTTCCATTCAGGCCTTCGACTGATTGGACAAGACCCACCTACATTAGGGAGAGCAATCTATTTTACTCACTCTGCATATTCAAATGTTAGTCTCATCCAGAAACACCAAGAATAATGTTTGACCAAGTATCTAGGCACCCCTTAGCCCAGCCAAGTTGAGACATCAGATTAGCCATCACGGACAGAGTGTGTGTAGAAGTAGTCGTCTGGCTGCTGCAGTGCCTGGGCATAAGGCTCTGTGTCTCTGAGCCTCAGTTTCCTCATCTGTAAAGGGTGTGTTGTGATCATGGGAGAAGTTAATGGATAAACACCATTTACGACACTGTGCTGTGCTTAGCCCACACATCTCTCTGACAGGCTCGCGCTGGGCAGTCTCAGCTGCCCCTGCCAGGAGGACCCCAGGCATGCGGTGGCAGTAATGCTTTTAAGCCTCACCCTCTCCTCCTGGGCCATGATCACTGTACACCCCCCTGTAGCTGGAGCCTGCAGAACTGAAGATGATACGCTGTGGTGACAGCTGCTCCTTGGGGCCACAAAGCGTCATCCTGTGGATCCTGTGAGGGCCCCGTGAATCCAGCGTCAGGCACTGTCACGTTAGCTGTGTGGAGAGATGCCTGGGGTGCTTCGCTCCTCTTTGTTTTGACGTGTCCCAGTCTGGGCTGAGTACCCAGCCCCTGGGCCTCTGAGCTGATCAGGGAGGTGATTATAGGGGGATGCTGGCCCCGCGTCTCCTGCCCGATGTGCTCCTAAAGCCAAAGCAAGAGGGAGAACACCAGGCCTCTCTTTAATTACATGGCAAGATTTAAAGTGATTTGAAAAGCCACTACATGAAGCTGTCACAGGGGAATAGATGTCAAAATGGCAGAAGAAACAACTGGTTAGGAGCAGATTTCCTCTGTGTCCCTTGCTCACACTCACCTTTGCCATCAGGAGGAAGGACGTGTTAGGGAGTCAGACGAGTTCCGGGGCCCAGCGAATGTGCTGGATGCTGCCATCCAGGACAAGAGGCTCCTGGTGCACGCAACCTTCTCCAGCCAGCAGTTTCCTCACTGGTGGGGGGGCACAAATCTATAAATGCCACTTTCCTGTCCCCAAGGGTACTGTCCTGTTGGGGAGTCCAGACACGCACGTAGGAGGCAATTCTAGGTGAGGCCATGTGCACAGAGCAGAATTCCAACCCCAGGGAGCCAGGGACCGGCTTCTTGGGCGGCTCTGAGGCCCAGCCGGGTTCATCCTGTGCTGTATTTGTCTACCTGCAACGTAGTGCCTGTCCCAGCTGCTGACCTGGCTTTCTCTCTGGGCCTCCAGCACCCAGCAGAGGGTCTGACACAGGGTAGATGGGAAGGAATTTTTGTTGAGTGGGTGGATAAATGGATGAGTGGGCGGGTGGGTGGGTGGATGGATGGATGGTTGACTGAATAATATTCCATTGCATGCATACACCACATTTAAAAATTGTGGTAAAATACACTTAACATGAAATTTACCATCTTAACCATTTTTAAGTGCAAAGTTCAGTGGCATTAAGCGCATTCACATTGTCATGCGGCCATCCCCATCATCTGTCCCCAGAACCTTTTCATCCTCCCAATTGAAACTCTGTCCCCATGAAACACTAACTCCCTTTTCCCTTCCTCTCAGCCCCTGGCAACCACCAGTCTACCTTCGGCCTCTGTGAATTTGATGACCCTGGGTAGCTCATATCAGTGGGATGACTCAGTATTTGTCTTTTTGTGACTCACTTATTTTCCTTAGCATAATGTCCTCCAAGTTCATCCATGCTTCGGCGTGCGTCAGAACTTCCTTCCTTCTTATGGCTGAGTAATAGCCCTTGTCCGCACGTACTCCATTTTGTTTATCCACTCATCTGGCGATGGGCACTGGGTTGCTTTCCTCTTGGCTATTGCGAATGGTGCTGCTATGAACATAGGTGTGCAAACGTCTCCTAGACACTCTGCTTTCCATCCTTTTGGATAAACACCCAGAAGTGGAACTGCTGGATCATATGGTAATTCTATTTTTAATTTTTTGAGGAACCTCTGTACACTTTGAAAACAGAGAGGTGAGGAGGCAACTCTATCTTAGCTCTGAAATGTCAGTCGTCTCTTGTCTGCCCCCGCCCAGCGCCCCAGGCCTCACCCCTGCCACGGCTCAGCAGGCCTCTCACTGGCTTGGCTCTTAGCGCCTCTGCACAGCGCCCTGAGATCTTTCCAGGGCACACCTGGTCATGTACCTTCCAGCTAAGGCCAGTAACTAACTCCCTGCTGCCCCAAGGCAAAGTCCTTTAAAAGCCCCAAGGTGCGCAGCTCCAGTGAATTACATGCGAGTGGAGGCTCCAGTCAGGCCTTGCTCACCTGCCGGTCACACCTTGAGCCACACTCCCTGCTGGGCACCTCCTGTCTGGCAGCACACCTAACGTGCAGAGACTGCCTCTAACCTTCTTTCACTTTTGCTGTTCCTATGCCTCGACTGTCCAAACTCTATTTTTCATCTGGTGGACGCCCACACAGGCACCGCATTGCCCTTGGAGGAGAGCCCGGCACACAGCATGCCCTTGCAATGGCGATGGGACGGGAGAGAAAAGGAAAAGAGATGACAGGGTGAATGAGTGGAGGGAGTGTGGAGTTAATCTGCCACTATTAACGAGGACGAGGTAGTTTTATGCAACTTTACTAAAGACGATTCTGAAAAAACGAAAGCTAGCTGTTGCCCTGGTGGTCCCTGCCCCACGGAAGGAGTGGAAGCGCGTTTACTGACTACATATCTGTCTCCCTGTTGTCTGTTTGGTCAGAGCAGGGGCCTTGCCTTCTTCATCTGTTCCCTGCAGCCAAGCGCAGGACCAGGACTTTGCTGATGCTTAGCAGACGTTCCCGCCCCCGGGAGTGGGAGGGAAGCAGTAGTGTGCGGATGGGGTGACTGACACAGGTCTTTGGTCTTCGTCCCCTAATCCCGGGACAAGAGCAACTAAAACACTTGTAATTTCCTGAGCGACGGGGTGAGAGGAGCATCTTCTGTCACTCATAACAAGCCCCTTTCAAGAACACCCGAGCTTATGCCCATGAGGTGACCGTTGGAAGATGGGAGCTGGTGTCCAGAGGAGCCAACCATGTGATCAGAGGGCGGGAACTTTCAGCCCCACTCCTCCGCCTCCAGGGAGTGGGAAGGAGTTGGGGACTGAGTTGATCACCAATGGCCAATGATGTGACAAACCACACCTACGTAATGGAACCTCCATATAACCCTAAACCACGGGGGATGGAGAGCCCGGCTGGTGAAAGTGTTGGGAGGTGAAAGGTGTCATGTGCTGGGAGGTGGCTCACTCGGAGTCCACAGGGACACAGGCTCCTGTGCTCGGGACCATTCTGGACCTGGCTCTATGTGCCTCTCCCTCTGCTGTTCCCTTGTGTCCTTTACAACAAACTGGTAACAGTAAGTAAACCGTTTGCCTGAGTTCTGTGAGTTGTTAGCGAATCACCAAACCTGAGCAAGGGGTTGTGGGAGCCCTCGATTTGTAGCCAAGTCAGACAGAAGCGGGAGGAGTTGGGAGACCCACTGGCGTCTGACGCGGGAACAGTCTTGTGGCACTGAGCCCTTAACCTGTGGGGTCTGTGCTAACTTTGGGTAGTTAGTGTCAGAACTGAATTAAATTGTAAGACATCCAGTTGGTGTCCACAGAGAACGGGAGAATTGATTGGTGTGGAAAGCCCACACGTTTGGTGTTAGAAGTTTTGTAAGTAGGGAAACAGATCCTAGGGCGAGCGGGGTTTTAGGAGTGTGTGTGTGGGGCTTGTGGGAGTGTGTGTGTGTACATGTGTGGGGGTTGTAGGAGTGTATGTTTGTGTGTGGCTGGGTTATGCTGCATCAACAAACGACCTCGCATCTCTCAGCGGCTTTACTTACACAAGAATGTAGTGTTCCTCACAATGAAGGTTGGCAGCGGTCTCCACTCTGCATAGTCACTCAGGCATCCGGGCTAACAGAGGCCCCATTTCAGCATGGGTTCCTTCATCACTGGGACGTGGAAAGAAATGTGGGAAACTGTGCACTTCCTCTTAATACCTCTGCCCTGATGTGGCACACATTATTTATCTCTTTTTTTTTTTGTTCAGGGTAAGTCATCTAATTAAAGGGGACAGGGAGCACTGTCCTTCCAGAAGGCCTGGGGAGCAGAACACAGTGAATAGCCCGATGGACGACCGCTGGGGACACGAGTCTCGGGGACCAGTTAGAAGGACTTTCTTTCCTCTCTCAGTGTCTGGGAACAGGGCAGGATCCAAGACCAGAGCTTAGGCTGGGAAGCAGGACTGGAAAGGCTGAATGTGCCCCCGGTCTCGGACGTGCTGTCAGTCTCTCTTCCTGGGGAGAAGTCTGGGTATGCTCCGAGGCACCTGGATTAAATAAAATGTCAACTTGAGAAGTACCAATCTTTCTTGTATGTTCTAAGAGAAGGGAGTCCATTCTTCATGTTAGTCTTGGGGGCGTCTCCAGGGGCAGGTGTGGGGGTGGTAATGGGAGGCTGTATGGGCTACCGAGCGGGGACCCCACTGTCCCCGGGTCAGACGGGTCAGCCACCGTCTAGCCCTGTGGCCTCGGGGAGGCAGTGCGTCTCTCCTTATTTGCCCATCTGTAAAGTGGGCTGATAACCATCCCCACCACTGGAGCAGCTGGGAAGACTGACTGAGATTGTGCCTGGAGCACCTGGTGCCAGGCCTGGCTGGGGAGCAGACGCTGGATAGGCCAGTGATGCTGCTCATCATCACGTGACCTTGTGATGTCATAATCAGCCCTGCTGGCTGTGTGAGTGGGAACAGGTTGCTAAACACTTTTTCAGTCCTCGATTTTCTCCCTTGAAAGTGGCGGTAATCATACCTACATCCCAGGTTGTCACAAGTTTGCAAGGCCTGTCCTGAGTGGACGCTCAGGCGGTCCCTGGTGGATGCGTGGTGTGTGGGAGGAGCACAAGCAGGGATGGGTATGGGGCAGCCCTGGGCATGTGGCCCATCGCACAGGGTGCAGGTGCCAGCTCAGAATTGGTTTTACACTTTTCCTTAATTGGGACAGTGCTTTCTCTTCCTTTTATTAAAAAAAATCTCTACGGGGAGCTGGCTGTAGCCGGTGGTGTCTTCGTGGACAGGCTCACCTCCCTCCACAGGGTCCCGCGTGGGTGGTGCTTCAGCTGGAATGACAGGGCCACTCATGACAACGACCTCTTCTTTCACCCTCTAGTTGGCACAGGACTAAAGTGTCCTCAACAAAGAGGGGGTGGTGAGAGGCCATTAATTTAGAGTGCTGAGGAGCCAAGGCAGGCATCTTCATTAGTAAGTTCAAATTGCGTTTTATTTCCATTTTGATGAGATTTTTATGAGTTAGAAGAGATGAAGTTGAATCCCATGAGTGTAATGGACCCAGAAAGATCACAGATACAGGATTGAATCCAACGAACCATGCGGAGTTTACTAAATCAATTAAATTTAAGAAAATAATGATTTTTTTTTTGCCACTGGGTTAAAATTTCTAAAATGTCTTAAAAAGGCAATGACAATGCTCATTCATGGGACATTACAGTGACGCCTAGGATCCCCCTAAACTCTTTCTCGCGTGTGTTTTACACAACTGCTTTGTGAAGGACCCCTGCGGTGGGGGCGGGGTGGTAGGGTGCAGGGGCTCTTCTGGAGCACTCTACTGCATGGGGCTGGAACCCTGGGCTCGGAGCCCACAAGTGCTGGGTCATGGCTTCCTCTCGCAGTGTGGATTAGGAGCGTTTGGTTAGAGCAGTTTGAGTTCAGGTTGGGGTAGGAAAGCCAACCACCTACCCAGAGGGCCACAGAAAACTGCTCTCAGGGGATGGAGATGCAAAAAGCCAGTTTATGGAGGAGAGGGTTGTTTGGGGGCTGTGGTTCAGGAAGCAGCCCCGTCTGCCTCGAGTCCCACCGCAATCTCTGAACCTCACATCATCCACGCATCTTAGCCCTGGGAGGACAAAGTGGTGGCAGGTGGCTGGGGTTTTCATGTTGAGTGAGTACTCACTCTTGCTGGACACTCTATATACATGATCTCATTTAATTCAATCAACAACCAAACTGTGACCTAACTAGGGGCCTGGTTTTTTATGGCCACATTTACAGATAAAGAGAAACATAGCATGACATTGATGCGTCTCACAGTCCTTCAGTGAACGCTTCATTCTGCCCAGCAATCATGTTAGCAGGCAAACTTTTGCTGTAAAGGGCCAGATGGTAGACGGTAAATATTTTAGGCTTTGTGGGCTGGGCGGTCTCTCTCCCAGTTACTCAGCTCGCCTGCTGTCACAGGAAAACCGCCACGGGCAGCCCCCGAATGAACGAGCATAGCTGTATTCCAACAAAACTTTGCGTGTGGAAACAGAAATTCAAATTTCACATAATTTTCACATGCTGCAAAATACTATTTTTATTTTGATTTTTTTCCCCCTAACCATTTAAAAAATGTAAAAACCGTGCCCTCCCGCCCCGTACGTGGATGATCCATCTGGGCTGCTCCTGTTTCAAGTCAGTCCCACTGCTGTGGTCCGGGGCCCACGTCCTCTGTCTCCTGGAGGAAATCACTCCAGCAATGCGTGTCCCTCTCCTGGGTCACAACAGCAGCTGTGCTGGCATTTCTCTTGTCTTAACAAACAAACAAAATTGTCTTCCTTGCTCTTGCCTCATCAGTCACTGCTTCTCTGCTCCCGTTTGTAGCAGAAGGCTGAAGGACTTTCCTGTGCAGTCCGCCTCCAAGTTTCCTCTGTCGTTCCCTCTCTTTAAAACACTTTTATTATTTACCTTTAAATTGAGGCGGCTTTAACAGAGAGCGAAATAGACAGACGTTCGGTGTATGGTTCAGTAGTTTTGACAAGCGTGCACTCCTGCTAACTCCCGGCCAGATCAGAATCTAGACTATTTCCATCAGCCCTGAAATTACCTTTAACTCTTCTTACCCAAGGTAACCAGGTTTTTTTTTTTTTTGAGGAAGATTGGCTCTGTTGCCAGTCTTCATTTTTTATTTATTTGTTCTCCTCCCCAAAGCCTCAGCACATAGTTGTATATCCTAGCTGTAGGTCATTCTAGTTCTTCTGTGTGGGATGCCTCCACAGCATGGCTTGGTGAGCCGTGTGGCGGTCCACGCCCAGGATCCAAACTGGTGAACCCCGGGCTGCTGAAGCGGAGCACGCAAACTTAACCACTCGGCCACGGGGCCGGCCCCAAAGTAACCAGTTTTGATTTCTTTCACTATAGATTAGTTTTGCCTGCTCTCGAACATCCTATTTACAGAATGTGTCTGGTTTCTTTCGTTTAGATGATGTTTTCGAGACTTGATTCATCCACGTATCAGTGGCTCATCCTTTTAGTTTTTTTTGGGACTTCTCTTGTTTAAATATGTCAAATTTATCCATTCTCCTGTCGATGGACAATTTTCTTTTTATTTCTGGGCTATTATCAATAAAACTGCTGTACATCCTTACGGAAGTTCTCTTGGGAGCCTACATTTTAATTTCTCTCGGTTAAATTCTTAGGTGTGGGTAGGTCTGAGTCTAACCTCAAAAGAAACTGCTAATCAGTTTCCCAAAGCGTTTTGCGCCCTTCACCACCCCACCACTAGTGTACCCGAGCTTCAGTTGCTCCACCTCCTCATCAGCACTTGGGTTTGTCAGTTTTTAAATTTTAGCCCTTTCGGCGTCATTGCCTTTCCCTGCTGATGATGTTGATCACCTTTTCATGTGCTTATTGGCTATTTGGGCGTGTGCTTTATCTCATTTAAAATAATTGGTTGTCTTTTTCTTATTGATTTGTAAGGTTCTTTATATAGTTTGGAGATAGTTTTTTTTGTCTGATATATGCAGCCCAACTATTATCTCTCAGTCTGTGGCTTGTCTTTTCTTTTTTTTTGATGAGTAGAAGATTTTAATTTTGACGAAGTCTAATTTATCAGTTTTTTCTTTTATGCTTAATGCTTTTGTGACCTGTCTAAGAAATCCTAAGACTGTGAAAATATTATCCCATTTTTCCTTCAGGTATATTTTCAGTTTTATCTTTTAGTTTATGATCCATCTTGAAGAAAGTTTTGCGAACTGTATGAAGTAAAATCCAGAGTTGATTTTTTTTCTGCTTATTTTTTGTGAGTCTATTTCTGGACTCTTTCTGTGTGTTTGATCTGTTTTCTATCTTTAAACTAATACCACACTGCCTTCATAATTGTAGCTTTAGATCAAGCCTTGAAATCAGGTGCCATAATTCTTCCAATTTTGTTCTCTTTTTTGATGGCTTGGGCTAGTTTAGGTCCCTTGTACTTTCATGTAAATTTTAGAATCAAGTTACCAGTTTCAGCAACAAATCCTGCTGGGGTTTTGACTGGGATTCCAGTGAATCTATAGGTCGACTGGGGTGAGAATTGGCATCTGTACCCTGCTCTTCCAATTCGTGAACACAAGATGTCTTCCCACTTATTTAGGTCTTCTCTAATTTCTTTTACAAATGGTATGTACTCTTCTGTATAGAAGTCTTGCACATTACTTTTTGTTAAATTTATTCCCACCATTTGATTTTTTTTCAATGCTATTGGAAATGGTATTTTTTTCTAAACTTCGTTTTTCATGTGCTTGTTGCTAGTGCTTAGAAACAGTATTGATCATTTTATATTGAATTTTTCTCCTGTACCTTGTTAGATCCACTAATTATTCAAGTAGTTTGTAGATTTTTTTGGATTCTTATACAGTCATGTCAGAAAGCCTTGCTTCTTCCTTTCAAATCCTTCTTTTTTTCTTTTTTCTTGCTCTAGTTAACTACTACCCAGTTCAATAGTATATAGAAATGACAAGACTGGATATCTTTGCCTTGTGCCCAGTCTTAGGGGGCAAAGATTTAACATTTTATTGTATACATGTTGGCTATGTGTTTTTCACATGGATGCTTCTTTCCTGATCGAGGAAATTTTCTTCTGTATTTGCTGATAGTTTTTATTATGAACTGCTACTCAATTTTAACAAGTGCTTTTTCTGAATCTGTTGAGAATATCACCTGGTTTTGCTCCTTTGTTCTGCTGATGTATTGAATTACACTGATTTTTCAGACCTCAGCCAACCTTCCGCCCCTATGATACACCTCATTAGTCACAATATATTATCTTTCTCATCTATTTCTGAATTCAATTTGCTAATATTTTGTTAAAGATTTTTGTGTCTCTTTATGAGGGGCGTTGGTCTGTAATTTTCTTTTCTTGTATGTTATTGGCAGGTGTGAATATTAGGGTTATGCTGGTCTTATAAAATTATGAGTTGGGAATGTCTCTCCCTGGTTCTCTGATAGAGTTTGTGTAAGATTGGTATTATTTCTTTCTGAAATGTTTGGTAGAATTCACAAATGAAACCATTTGGGTCTGAAGTATTGTTTGTCTGCTTTAGGAGGATTTTTTTGTTTGTTTTTAAAGTGGGAAGATTTTAAATTATGGTTTCCATTTAGAAAAATAGTTAGAAGGCTGTTCAGATTTTTCTATTTCTTCTTGTGACAGCTTTGGAAAGCTGTATTTTCCAAGAAACTTCCCATCATTGAAGTTAACGAATTCATAGACACACAGTTATTCATAATATTCTATTACTATCCTCGTAATGTCTGCAGGACAGTCCTGATTTTATTTCATTCCTGATATTGGTAATTTGCATTTTTTTCTTTTATTTTTTGACAATTTGTGTTATTTTATTAGTATTT